TCATGGTGGTCTGCGAAAAGGCCTTACTGGTAAATTATTTAAACTGTTATGTTTATTCATATCATGATCTGATCACCATGCTCAATATATCCCATATGCATGGGGGTATTGGGGTAACGATACAAAAGGTTTGCTAGGATAGACCCTCTTTCACTCAGACTCAGCCCCCCCCCCCCCGAAACAAACTCAGCCCCCCCCCCCCCCGAAACAAAATACTGGCTACGGGCCTGCCCCCCCCCCCAAACAGTATTCAAATTTGGGCATATGGTTATTTGTGCCGAATTTGTTCCAGTGAATGAAAACACATCCTGCATATCAGATATTTACATTACAAATTCATAACAGTAGCAAAACTGCAGTTATGAAGTAGCAACAAAAGTAATTTTATGGTTGGGGGTCACCACAACATGAGGAACTGTCTGAGTCCCTCTACGGAGGTTGAGAAGATCGGGATTTAAAAGTTTTAAATAAATAAATTTTAAATAAATATTAAGGGGCTGTGGCATTAGGAAGGTTGAGAAACACTGCTCTAACAGATTATAAAGGTGTTCATTATAACTTACACAAAATATAATTTCTAACATTATCCACCATAATATAGAGTTCTTTCCTGTATTGAACTAGATGAGTTTATTGAGTGGAAACAATGATCTAATTTTGTGTAAGAACCTTACTGGTTTCTATGATCGAGATGGTTTTAAACAGTGTATATTGAGACAAATGTTTTTAATATTTATGTATGAATTCTTGTCCCAGCATTGAATGCTTGCCGTATATATTCTGTGCTCCGCCCTGAGTCCCCTTTGGGGTGAGAAGGGTAGAATATAAATGTTTTTGATTAAATAAATAAATAAATATTGCCTACCAGCCGTATTTGAAATTGGTAAACATTGTGGGTGTGGGGTGTGCGTTCTTTCAAGTCAACTGCCAAGTTAAGATACCGCTATGAATTTTATTTTCTTAGGCAAGGAATACTCAGATGTTGTTTTATCAGTTCTGTTCTCTGAAATATTGCCCACAGCACCTGGATATTCATTGGTGCTCCTAGCCAAGTAGGGATTAGGGCCCTGCTTAGTTTCCAAAATCAGATGAGATCTGTTATGTTTAGAGTACTTGGGCTCTAGTCTAAATAAAAAGGAGTTACAGTGTCTGAAAGGTTGTAATCCACAAATTTGCTAAATATCAAAGGCATTTTGGGTATTTATGGAGGCTTTGGTAGACTTTGGAAGGAAGTAAAGAGCCTCTCAGTGATTGGATTGCTGTGAGTTTTCCAGGCTGTATAGCCATGTTCCAGAAGCATTCTATCCTGAGGTTTTGCCCACATCTATGATTAACTGGAAGGACAGGCTTTGAAACAGAACATTCATGGAAAACTGATTCAAGTCAGAGAAAATTAAATATATATATAAAATTCCTTCTTAATACTGGTTGTAAACACTTTTCAAGACAAGAATACATATACTTGTCACAGTTGTCACTCATTTAATATATTTTAAAACTGCTCATCCAACTTTACCAGGTGGTGTGTACAATCTGTTAAAAACAAGAATTTTAAGTATAATAATATTTTAAAGTAGAACAATGGCTGAAGAAACAGTGTAAAACCAAAATAACCTCACAAAATTACTAAAACTAGAGAAAACGATGGAAAAAAAGCAATAGCCTAGAAGTATCTATTTAACTTCATTAGGCTTGTAAATAGTTGTGGAATGCCCACTGCTTGGAAGCCCAACTGACACTGATTGCCTCACTTTGGTGCCGTGTTAGACCTTGGCTCTAACACAGCACCACTATAGTGACTGAGAAATAAGATCATTCTGAACTTTGAAGTTCTTATTGTTTGTTGATGCCTTTAAGTCACAACCAATTTGTGGCGACCCTAACACCAATCTGTCATGGGATTTTGTTGGACATAGTGCTTCAAAAGAATGGGGTTGGTATGAGTTTTCCGGGCTGTATGGCCATGTTCCAGAAGTATGCTCTCCTGATGTTTTGCCCACATCTATGGCAGGCATCCTCAGAGGTTGTGAGGTCTGTTGGAAACTAAGCAACTGGAGTTTATACATCTGTGGGATGTCCAGAGTGGGAGAAATAACTTGTCTCTTTGAGGGAAGTGTGATTTTGCTATTGGTCACCTTTATTAGCACTGAGTGGCTTTGCAGCTTCAAAGCCTGACTGCTTCCTGCCTGGGGCAGTGTAGATATAGAGCCCTTCCAGATAGGCCCTATATCCCAGGATATGATCCCAGGCTTTCTGTTTATCCCAGGTTACCTGAAGTGTGGACTCATATAATCCAGTTTAAAGCAAAACAAAACAAAACAAAACAAACTTGGGATCAGATCCTGGGATATAGGGCCTGTCTGGAAGGGCTCCTAGTCTGTGAATACTGTCCCTATATATATGAAAAATGTCTTTGAATACATTTCTTATACAATCACATGAAGCTTTGGGGGTGTAGTTTCTCAATCCACTTGCATGGAAGTTACAAATGAATAAATCTTCAAATAAATGTTAGAAGAAATCCTATGTTGCCCTTTGGAGCAGCGGGACACTATTAGCAACACATCAGAGGTGAAACCAAATATGATGGCATCTCAAGTACTCTTTCTGCATGCATGTATGCATATGGGCGGGGTATATAGGGCACTGCTAGGGCATGGCTAGAGATGCAATGGCAAATAAGGAATCAAATCTAGTCACCAACTATTTCTCTCCTAAACAGGAACTTATGGGAATGGGTCAAGTAACTGCTAATTCTGCCAAAGGAAATTGGGGATGTGTAAACCCATTTCCTAGATTTAAATCCATCAGGGTAAACCAGTTTAGTACTGAAACCCCTTGGAAAACTTCAAATAGTGAGGGAAAAATGTCAAACATCTGCTTTATTGAATGACACCCAGTCATTCTATAGTAAGCCTTATGAGGACCAACTTAGGGAGTTGGGGATGTTTGGCTTGGAGAAAAGAAGGCTGAGAGGGGGCATGATAGCCACGTTTAAATATTTGAAAGGATGTCACCTTGAAGAGAGGGCAAGCTTGTTTTCTGCTACTCCAGAAAATAGAACATAGAGCAATGGATACAAACTGCAGGAAAAGAGATTCCCCTTTAGCAAGCAAAAACTTCCTGACAGTAAGAGCTGTTCAACAATAAAATATACTGTCTGGGGGGTGTAGCGATCGCATTCTCTTGCAGTTTTTAAACAGAGACTGGGTGGCCATCTGTTGGGAGTGCTTTGATTGTGTGTTCCTGCATGGCTGGGAGTTTGATTGGATAGTCCTTGGGGGTCTCTTCCAACTCTATGGAGCTACATTATATGGTCCATGTACTAGACTCATAATGCGCAGTTCAATGCTGTTATCCCAGGATCTATATCCCAGGATTTGATCCCAGGTTTTCTGCTTTAATCTGGATTAAATGAGGGCCCTTCCACACAACCTTGTATTCCGGAATATCAAGGCAGAAAATCCCGCAATATCTGCTTTGAACTGGGTTATCTGAGTCCACACTCAGCTAATGTGGGGTTTTCTGCCTTGATATTCTGGGATATAGGGCTGTGTGGAATGGGCCTGAGTCTACACTAGCCATATAATTCAGTTAGTGGTAGTGTAGTTGCGGCTAAGGGTTCTGTGATAGCGTTGGTGTGAGTTTTTTGGGCTGTCTGGCCATGTTCCAGAAGCATTCTCTCTTGACCTTTCGCCCACATCAGGCCCGTAGCCAGGATTTCAATTCGGGGGAGGGGGCTGAGTTTGTTTCGGGGGTGGGGCTGAGTCTGAGTGAAAGAGGGTCTACCCTAGCAAACCTTTTGTATCGTTACCCCAATACCCCCATGCATATGGGATATATTGAGTATGGTGATCAGATCATGATATGAATAAACATAACAGTTTAAATAATGCACCAGTATGGCCTTTTTGCGAACCACCATGAGAATTGGTTTTTTTTTTTTTTCTGTTTTTTTTTCATTTTTTTTTTTTTTTCGGGGGGGGGGGGTTAAGCCCCTCAAGCGCCCCCCCCCCCCCCAGCTACATGCCTGGCCCACATCTATGGCAGGCATAGAATCATAGAGTTTGAAGAGACCTTAGGGACCATCCAGTCCAACCCCCTGCAAGAAGCAGGAAAATTGCATTCAAAGCACCCCCGACAGATGGCCATCCAACCTGTTTAAAAGCTTCCAAAGAAAGAGCCTCCACCACACACGGCTCTCACAGTCAGGAAGTTCTTCCTAATGTTCAGATGGAATCCTCAGAGGTTTGAGGTTTGTTGGAAACTTGGCAAGTGGGGTTTAATGTCCAGGGTGGGAGAAACAACTCTTGTCTGTTTGAGGCAAGTATGAATGTTGCTATTGGCCACCTTTATTAGCATTGAGTGGCCTTGTAGCTTCCAATCCTGGCTGCTTCCTGTCTAAGGCAAGTGTAATGTTGCAGTTGATCACCTTGGGCCCTTCCACACAGGCCTATATTCCAGAAACCTCAGAGACTAGGCAAGTGGGGTTTATATATCTGTGGAATAATGTCCAGGGTGAGAGAAAGAACTCTTGTCTATTTGAGGCAAGTGTGAATGTTGCTATTGCCCACCTTTATTAGCATTGAGTGGCCTTGCAGCTTCCAATCCTGGCCGCTTCCTGCCTGAGGCAAGTGTGAATGTTGGCAACTGCTCACCTTGGGCCCTTCCACACAGCACTTTATTCCAGAAAATCCCACAATATCTGCTTTGAACTGGGTTATCTTGAACTCAGATAATGTGGGATTGTTTGCCTTGATATTCTGGGATATAGGGTTGTGTGGAAGGGCCCGCGGGCATCAGCCATTCCCCCTTCTCTGTAGTCCGTTCCTAAAATTCGTTCCCAGAGCAGCAAGACCAGGTCCCCCCTTCCGGCTCCATCTTTTCCCCCAAATCCATCCGTCCGGGTTTTGCGAACCGCCGGCGAGACGAAGCTGGTCGCCGATTGGCTAAGACGCGCGGGCTGCAGCCAATGATCTGCGGGGGACGCTCTTCTGGCTGTAGAGGGGGGCCCTCCAGCGCTGGAGTGCCATTCGGGGGAAAGAAGAGTCCGGCGGTGGAGAGCGTCTGCTCTTCGGATGTGGAGGAGAGCCTTCGTCTTGATTTGGTGCCCCTCCGCTCTGGACATGCGTGGCTCGGGCTGGCTGTGATCCCCTCCCCCCCAAAAAGACTCCTCTCCCCTTCCATGGTGAGCCTTCGTCCCTGGGAGTCGCCTTAGGAGCTGCTCGAGGTGCCCCAGCGCTTCCTTCTCTCGCCAGGGTGAGTAGCAGAGGTCCCTGCTTTTTGTCCCCTTCCCCGGAGAGGTTGGCATCCCAAGCCTTTCCCCTGTCACTTCCCAAAAGTCTTGCTGGAGTTCTGACTTGGGGATTGGAGGCTGTAGCTATGGGATGGGGGCATTTAAACCTCCCCAACCCCCCTCCCCAAGACTACTACCACTCTCAGACATGATTTGTAGTCCTGCAGAGTCTAAAACAAGCATCATTGTATATATTTATTCATCCTCTTTTCCAGGATTGGGACCCCAAGAGACTCACAATAAAATCCCATTACAAGCCTATCTATTTTTGGTGGGAGGGGGGTCTTCATTTTGCCCCTTCCCACTGCTAAATCCCCTTAGCCAAGCCTTTTGGGCTTTCTCTGGGACAAGCCAGCAAACTCTGCTCTTCTTTAACAACCTCAAAAATGATGGAAAGCCTTTCTTTCAGGGAATTAGCTTTCTGGAGAGTAGATCCCATCCAGTGCAGTGGGATCCCAATGCTTCTGTCGCCTCCCCTTTCCATGCCTTTTAAATGCAGGGATTTGGGTCTCTCTTGGCAGAGAGGAAGCCCTGGACTCAGAAGTGACACATTCCCTGTTGTCATACCTGCGAAATACCAGGAACATGTGTTTGTTTTGCTCCATTATGCAGTGGTGCAGTCAATGAATTTTAGATTCTGGACTTAACTTACTCAAGAGGAGGAGAAAGAGGGGGGTGCTTGCTTGGCGAGGCTGTGGAAATGTATGCTAGGATCAGCTTTAGATGCTAGGAGGTCTGCTTGGAAATGCGGCAAGCTATTTCTGTGGAGGGAGGGTTTCCACTGAGCTCACAAGGATTCCTGGATCAGAGTCCTGCCTTCCTTCCAAGGTTATGCTTTATAGTGGGTTCTGGGTATCGTTTGCAGTTTGCTTCCAAAATCCTGTGGATACCAAAATCTTGCTCCAGTTCTCCAGTATACAGTCACACAATAAAATGGTGCTTCTTATAGAAAAGGGTTTTCTATAAAAATCAAGTTTTGCTTTTTTTGTGTTGTCGAAGGCTTTCATGGTCCAAAACACTGGGTTGCTGTGAGTTTTCTGGGCTGTATGGCCATGTTCCAGAAGCACTCTTGCCTGACATTTCACCCACATCTATGGCAGGCATCTATATCAAATGTCAGGAGAGAATGCTTCTGGAACATGGCCATACAGCCCAGAAAACTCACAGCACCCATTTTGCTTTTTGGTTTTTTAAAAATATTTTTCAAGCCATGGATGTTTGAGTCCGTGGATGCTGAGTCCATGGAGGCGGAGGACTGAATTATACTTTGAATATTGCTGAGACTTTAGGCTGCAGTCCTATGCTGCAGTATCGGGGATCAGCCCCATTGAAGCAATGCTGGACCTTCCTCTGAGCAAATTTGCAAAACGTGTGACTTTTGAGTGGGGTTTTTTTTCTGTGTTGGGAGTGACTTGAGAAACTGCAAGTTGCTTCTGGTGTGAGAGAATTGGCCATCTGCAAGGACATTGCCCAGGTTTTACCATCCTGTGGGAGGCTTCTCTCCCCACATGAGAAGCTGGAGCTGACAGATGGAAGCTCCCCCCGCTCCCTGGATTTGAACTGTCAACCTTTCGGTCAGCAGTCCTGCCGGCACAAGGGTTTAATCCATTGAATCACCCTTTCGAGGAAGAAAGACTGTGCTCTCTCCATTAATTGTCTTCATTTTTTAATGTATGCAACCAGTATTTGCTTGAAGGGTTCTAACAAAAGGCTTCTATGATGCAGCATGAAAATGGGCATAACCCAAAGTCGCTCTGAAGTTTTAACTTCTGGGACCCACACCGCACTCACACTCCTAAGGAAAAATACAAGCACCCCAAACGAAACATAGAATTAGGAATCTCCAAAGCTATTTATTATATCAGGGTCAGGGCATGTGTATAATTAAAAACTCTTGGCACTTAGAAAAAGCGGTATTTATCTCTTAAGCCCCTAGTGAATGTGAGACTGTAATCAGGAGGATATAATATCGGTGAGGCACGCAGCCGGGGAGGCCGTCTCTGCCGAGGATCTGGCCGTATTTATTATTTTTACTCTCCTAGGAAGGCAAGCTCCATCTGTCTTTCCTACAGGCTATGACTATAGATGGGTGTGAGTTTCAGCATTTCTGCCTGAGTTGGACTCCAGATGTGTGAGCTCAGCTGTTGTCTGTCACTTGGGTGACAACTGACTTTTCCCCCTGCAATGCTTTGCCTTTTCTCTGTTAGCCTCAGCCCAGCAGTTCCAGTGTTTTGACTCCTTTCTTTTGTGGATTGGGCAGCCCCAGGGGGAGGAGGATATATGGTTCTGTTTAGTTATCTCTGTCAAGACCTCAGTGTGTCTCTACGAATCTTCTAAGGTTGTATGAGAAGCAAAAAATGCTTCACACTCTCTCCTTCATAACATGGGTTTAACTTTGAAAATGTACAAAGACTGCCCTTGCTTTGAGAGCCTCACTGAAGTGTGATGAACACCCATCTCCTCTCTCTTTCAAACAACTAAACTTTATCATCACAATCTAAAACTTATACAGCAACCATTTATCTTGGCTGACTGATGTGTGTGTGTGTTTGGATTCAGAATCTTAAAAGTGGATGCCAAGATTTTGTCTGTCACTGTGTCCCAGCTGAGGGCAAAAGGAAGCAAAATAAAAAGTTTTTTGGGGGTGTTTTTTTAAGTGGGGATAGGCTAGTTTAAGTGTCTCCAAATATCAGCAGTTGGGAAGCTGAAACACAGTGGGTCCTGGCACAATGTTTATGCAAAGGGTTGAATGCTAGCCCTGTATAGTTCCCACATTTTAAAGTAAAAAGCTGACAGAAATAAATGAGTGTCATGCATCCCTCCCCATCACTTGAGAGATCTAGTTGAAAATACTGGCTGTATTTGTTCCTACACATAAACTCTGCATTGCTGTGAGATTTCTAGGCTGTTTAGCCATGTTCCAAAAGCATTCTCTCCTGACATTTCACCCACATCTATGACAGGTATCCTCCGAGGTTGTGAGGTCTGTTGTAAACTAGTCTGCTTGCAGCAAGTGTGAGTGTTGCAATTGGCTGCCTTGATTAGCATTGAATGGCCTTCCAGCTTCAAAGCCTGGTTGATTCCTGCATGGGTGAATCTTTTGTTGGGAGGTGTTAGCTGGCTTGATTATTTCACGTCAGTAATGTCCTTGTTTTTTTAGTGTTCCTCTTTATTTAGTGTTCTGATTTCAGAGTTTTTTTTTTAAACTGGTAGCCAGATTTTGTTCATTTTGATGGTTTCCTCCTTTTTGTTGAAATTGTCCACATGCTTGTGGATTTCAGTGGCTTCTCTGTGTAGTTTGAATCTGCGCAGTCTGTGTAGCAGGAATTAGCCAGGCTTTGAAGCTGCAAGGCCACTCAATGCTAATCAAGGTGGCCAGTTGCAACATTCACACTTGTCTCAAGCAGATAAAGAGTTCTTTCTACCACCCTGGTCATTCCACAGATATATAAACCTCACTTGCCTAGTTTCCAACAGACCTCACAACCTCTGGGGATGCCTGCCATAGATGTGGGTGAAACGTCAGGAGGGAATGCTTCTGGAACATGGCCATACAACCCGGAAAACTCACAGCAACCCAGTGATTCCAGCCATGAAAGCCTTCAATGACATATAATCTCTCTGCCTGCAGTAATTTAGCACCAATCCAGTAGGAGTTTTTTCCTCTTCGAAATGGTGTTCCTTTTCTTTGCCTCTGTAAAAATATTTGGGGGGAGTTCACGTGGAAGACTGTTACAAATAGGCAGATAGTTGAAACTCTGTGCAAAAGGAACCATTTAAGAAACAATTACAGCAATAGATACATTCTGGTGTAGTTAAATAAACTCAGCCTTAATTCTAAGAGTGTTCACTTGGAAGTAATCCCCAATGCACTGAAGGGGCATATATTAGTACAGGCCTTAAATCTGCTATCTTCTTCAACTTTATTTGGAAATAAATCTCACTGGATTCAAGAAGACAGACTTTAGAGTCACTTTGCATATGATCACATTCAAAGTCACATCTTACAATGCTTTTTTTCTCTTTGTAGTCATGGATATTACAGTCAGTCCAACTTAGTTCCCTAGAAAAACTTTAACATCAGCTGTGGGGCAGGGAGGGGGAGGAAATCTTACAGGGTTAATAGCTGAGCTATTAAGATTGGAGTCAGATGTGGCTAAAAGCAACAGGAGAGTCTGGATTTCCCTAATATCCTGTGGTATAACTGAAAAGGTAATTGTATTTTAAAGGTCCCCCCCCCAAAAAAAACCACCCGCCCTGTTTCTATTTAGAACTCTTTTTTAAAAAAAGCTATGGACCAGCATTTCTCCAACGCACAGTGGTGAATTTTGCTTGAAGTTGAAGCCTCAGTTTAAAAATCATGAAATGTGTGGCTTTCCAACCAGAAATAGAAGTAATCTTAATGTTGTATCTTTAAATGCTAGAGTTTGGGTGAAACTCTTTTTAGAAAGTGAGCGTGCCATCTTGCATCTTTTAGGAATAGTTTTTTTAATTTATATCCAGGATTATGAATTTTGACAAAATATTGGTTGTTAGAGATAATGAACTTTTTTGTTCTTGCTGTTTGGCTGTGGCACGGATAGGAAAGGAATATTTTGTGAACTCCGCACTCATCTGTTAGGTCTGTCTCCCCCTGTTGTCCCAGAAAATACATTAGTTCAATGTGTGTTGGCTCAGCACATTGGAATCTCTATTGCTGTTCTACAGGAAACAGAGCCCTACAAGGGGCAGTTAGAAAGATATTTAATATGGTTAATGGACTTCAGCTTGTGGTGCTTCTTTTGAGGAGCAGTTAGTGTGTGAAGTAGATATGGCTTTATCTATACTGGCAATTTTACATAAAAAGTCAAAAAGAGAATTGGGCCAAATTATACTTTGCTTTTCCAATGACTGTATGGTTGTGATCAAGTTTTATTCACAGACTTGAAATCCAGGTATCCATTTGTAAGACCCATAGACATGG